AAGTGTATTTTTAACACATACGTACATACATACATACATACATACATACATACGTACACACATACATACATACATACATACATACATACATACACACACACATATATATGTATATGATATATGTTCTATCAGCAGATGTCCTGCTTTCCGAGGTTCGGCAACCGAAGCTTGGCTCTCCCAACAACAGTCCTCAAGCCCACGACAGCCCACAGAAGAAGGCCAAGTGGCTTTGCCGCTTTGATCATCTGCAGTGACAGCAAGCTAATTCATTTCAGCGGCGAGGTCACGCCGCAGTCACATGCTCTGTTCTACCCGTACCTGCCTTGTGTTCGGAAGCTGCTAGTGCTATGAACAGTGATTGCACGTTGGGACGCTTCCGCAAATCGTTCACCTCTCTCAGTTTGCTAGCGCACTGAAACTGAATTTCTGCTGTGATCCCTGCAAGATCCGTATTGGAGACCTTGCTACAAACTGCACAGCATGTAGAGCCGATTGCTGTTCCCACCTTTGCTCGTTTCAGGGCAGCGCACCTCCTGGGCGAATGGCGCAACCGCCACCCCCGAGACCTTCGGGACTTCATGCTAGCATGTGGCTCCTCCCTGCATCACCCTTGCGCCCAAGATCCTAGCTGGGTCCTCTGTGAGCACCTGCCCCCAAAGCCTCAAACTCTTTGCAGGATACTTCGAGAAGAAGGGCGAGGTCCATGAGCTACGGCAGCTTTTACGAGGCTGGGCCGTCAAATCTTGATTCGAATCCGTGGTAAGTGTTTCAGAGAAGCACAGTTGTGCCAGCTACTTCGCAGGGGCGTCCGCGGACCGTGATCAGCAGAAGAAGCGGGATGCCATCAAGAAGGTTTGCGTCACGTTGCACATCTTGTGAACAAGGGGAGTCGCTTTGTATGTAACCGTTTATGGTCCTACCGGCTTTGAAGTCAAGCCGAAGCACACTCACATCCCAGAGCTCGGTGACTGGAGCCCCAGCTGGGTTAAGTGCTTTATTAACATGACCTGAGAACTGCACATCCCCGTAGGAGCACTAGAAACCGTCACCTTCAGTCACGATTTCTCACCTGCGTGAACGCGGAAAGGTCATTGCATACATGACCCTGGGCATTGACGTCTCGCCGCTCTTCAGCGAGATGGTCATGGCATTGCACCCAGATAGACTTGCAGCAATCTTGGAAGCGGAGTATGTGAATTTTCTTGGGGACCTGTGTCTTGTACTGGTGGGCATCAAAGCAGGGTTCATTTGGGTCGTTCTGCGGAATTACTCCCAAGATTGTGGAAGCGAGACTCGTTCGTGTAACCACATACCACTGCCGAACACTAAGCCAGAACTTGTCAATGAATAATGGTTCCGGCCAGTCTTACCAGCACAACGAACGTGTAAGATACCAACTGGCCTGCCAAAGCTTTAGCCATGACACGGTGAGTTTTGCTTTGTGTTGCAGCTTTAGGACGTATGAGCTGTAGTCTAAACTCCTTAGAGGGTGTTTATATAGGATATTGTACAGGGGAGTATTATGGGGGATATTAAAGGGGATACTAGGAGTTTAGACTATAGCTCGTATGGCGTCAAGGTACCCCTAGTTTCAAGCAATTCTCACGGTCGAGCAAGCCAAGGCCAGCGCGACTACGGATCTTGTACAAAAGAAGATGGCCGCGAGCCAAGAGATTGACACAACCCCCAAACTCCCCAGAATCAGCTTGCAAGGGTTTGATGGATATAGCCCCCCTTGAGTAGATAGAATATGGCTTTGGGTAGATCTCATATTCTATCTACTTACGGGAGACTATAGTTCTTTGTTTCGCTGTTTCCTGGATAGATGCCGGCACGCCACTTTCTGGCGCCAGCATTCATGCTCTCATTACCTCCGATTTTTGTGTGCAGGTTAATCGCGGTGCATCCTTCATCCAAGTATGGCCATGCATACCATGTTCTCTTCCAAAGCACATATCCGATGATCCCTCCACCAGCAATGGGCATCGGAAGAAGCCTCACAAAATTTCCATGCTGACCTGGTCCCTACACCCTAAATCCTCAGCCACAGCCGTTAATCTCCATGAAGGGAACGAGTCTTCGGGCGGCCATGGCTTAGATTTCATGCAAACCCTGTTTACCGATGGGGGAATCCCGACACCGATACCCCCGCTGAAATTCTGTTTACCGATAGGGGAAACCCAACACCGATACCCCCTAAGATGCGGCCGTTTCTGGGAATAAGAATTTTGGCGCGAGCTCAACCGTGTGCGTACGGCGGTCCACCTCCTGTGTTGCTGCTGAGGAATTTAATTTAAGTTACTATATTGGGGAAATCCTATTATTCACTGTATGAGCCATGATCTAAACTCCTTAAAGGGGATTATATAGGGCATTATTTCGGGGACTGGTTAGTGGTTATTAAGTGGGATACTAGGAGTTTAGACAATGGCTCATATTTACCCGTTTGGGTAACTTCAATTAAGTTCCTTAACGGCAACCCAGCCTCAGGTATATCTATATCTGGTCAACTATGCTGAGAGCAACTCGGACTTGGCCATCCTGGCAATCAACACACTTCAGAAGGACACAGCCTTGTCCACATTTAACCTAAAAAGGTTTAGGGTGCAGGGTTTAGGGTTGTGGTTATATAGGGGTTATAATACAGGGGTTGTTTCGAGATAATGGAGAATCAAATGGAAAAGAATATGGAACATAAAACGGGAACTGGGGCATATATAGGGGCTATATAGGGTCATATGTGCACTAGGCTTATCTTCCCCATCCTCTCCTTTTGGTTGTAGTAGCCTGTAAGAAGAATGGAACCTTACTTCGCTCAACCATCCCAAAAAGCATACTGGTTGAAGCTGGAAACGACCAGTTTACTTAAGTTGATCCCGGGTTTTACTTTTTGAGGTTAAGGGTAGCTGGTAGGGAACGAAGGAAGAGGCTTTACAATTATGAGAAGGGATGAAACAGGATCACTTGGGATTCACTCCTCCATCAACAGCCAGTACATAAGGAGTCTTTCCACATCTGTGGCTCCACCTGTAATTGAAATTTCAGAAAATAGAGGGGCCCTCCAAACGGGATTTCCAAATTTAGGAATGCTCCGCGTTTTCGAGCATTTTCCCACCCTTGTTGGTGTTTTCTGGGTGGATCCAGATGAGGATTTGCATGCCAGCTTGCAAATTCGAATGAACCTACGTCTAGGGTTTTGGGGATTGGGGGGCCTCCAACTTGTGTACACCCAAGGGCAACAAGTTGACTGTCTTGACAGTCATGGAGATTCCGGGCTCGCAGGAAAAGGGGTGCAGCCTGACCCTATATGACTGAAAACCCCGCATGGTCCACCTTTTTTAGAAATACTCATATGCCTTGATTTTGACAGCTGTTCATCGGTTCCAGGATTGTCGGGATGACGATCCGATGATCCGTGGGCTGGCTCTTCGGTCTCTATGCCTGCGCCCCAGCAAGATCCCGGATTAGGTTGTTTAGCGTTCATGGGGTGTACCAGGTACTGGGTTGAGATGAGTTGAGGGTTTGCAGGGTGTATAGGATTTACTGTTGCAGTTCCGCCTGGCTGCAGCATGATGAAGGCGAGCGCGCAGCTGCTTCTGACGAGCCCCCGGATCTCCCAAACTTGCGCTCAGCACGATGCTCCTAAAGTTACTGGAAAAGGGGCAGGAGCGCAGCCAACGAGACCAGCTGCTTGTGCTTAGGGCTCAAATTTGCGGCCCCAAAAACGAAGCCGCCCTTGCGACCCCAAAAATGGGGCCGCAAATGGACCCAGCCTTTATAAGACAATTCGGAGC